GAAGTCTTTAAAATGTTGGACCGAGATGGGTTATGGTCCTGTCTCTGTGGACAGAGCGGCTCATTAAACATCCAACTCTTCATCTGCTACCAGGCTGATGACACAGTGTGTGGGGACGAGGAAGTGAGAGGAGGATAGCCATGACATGAGATGAGTACGGTATGACAGTGATGGTCAATCACATTTTTTTTCCCCTGCTACTATAAAACCAGGGTCTGAAATTACCTTTGTGTCCACCTCATCCAGTCCATTTCTGCCAGAGTTGCTTTTGCCCGTATCCACGGTAACCTGATTAAAATCGCACAAGAGATGTGTGTCGTTGTTGAAGCAGAATTTGCTATCACTGAAAATGCACTTTGTGCCTAAGTTGACCACCGCCTGCGACCCCTTCAGGCATAAAGAAATATAGCTGAACTCACTTGACAGAGCTGGATCTCTAGGTACCCTCCTCACACTGAAGGGATAAGGATCAGGCTGTTTCCGCAAAATCATGTTAAAAAATTTTCTAAAACTATTTTCTACAACAACAAAGTGACTTAAAGCTCAGCATTTGTTTTAAAAATTGGCATGTCGATGGCGTACATTCTTACAGAGCCGGTTTACAGTGTACATGTTAACACCATGTTTGTGGCATACATGCCAACAGGCAGCATGTGGTAGCATACATGCTAACAGATAGCATGTATGCCACAACATGCTAGCTGTTAGCATGTGTGCTACAAACACGCTACCTGTTAGCATGTATGCCACAAATAGGCTAACAGCAAACACGTTTGTAGCACACATGCTAACAGCCAGCATGTGGTAGCATGCATGCTAAGAGGTAGGGCATTTATACTAAAAGATAGCATATTTATAGCATAAATGCTAACAGCCAGTTTGCAGCGTACATGCTAACGACATGTTTGTGGCATACATTGCAAAAGGCAGCATTTTTGTGGAATTTATTGCAAAATAAGGCACATTTGCAGCATACATGGTAACAGGTAGCCTATTTTTGGCATAAATGCAAACAGCAAGCATGTTTGTAGCACACATGCTAAAAGGCAGCATGTTTGTGGAATTTATTGCAAAATAAGGCACATTTGCAGCATACATGGTAACAGGTAGCCTATTTTTGGCATAAATGCAAACAGTAAGCATGTTTGTAGCACACATGCTAAAAGGCAGCATGTTTGTGGAATTTATTGCAAAATAA